GGGGCGACCGACGAGAGGCCCAACTTAGTTCCAGGGCTCGAGCGGGCCGCGGCATCTCGAGTAAACACCGCCTGGAATGTCCCTCCCGAGTGGCCTGTCAAGGTTGCCGCGGCCCGAACGCCGCATGCATTGCGCAGTGAGCGCCGTGTCACCCGCGGCGCCGCGCGCCTCCCGGAGCCGGTGAGGTGATCTCGATCAAATCGGCTCGAGCCGAAGGGCTGCCGCGAGGGCATCTGATCGCCCTCATGACGAACGATTCCCGACGCTCTGTGACTCGAAGGCGACCGAAATTCGGGTCGGGGGAAGCTGCCGCGCCCCATTCCACCCCCTGAGGCTGCCCGTTTGCGCCACCTCGCAATCGTCCGGATGTCGCGTCTTTTCATGTGCCTCACCCACATGTTTGCGGACCTCAAAGCCGCTGGGATCGTTGCACGTCGCTGCATATTCGAGGAGCACGGGGCCCTCTAAGGTGGAGATTCCATCAGCTGCCATAGCAGCTTCGAGCGCCTAACTAATCCAGGTACTCGACGTCCTGCCGGGGATAAACGATGGTTCGACCGTAGAGCGGCAGGACGAGTACGGGACACGAAGCAAAAAAACGGGACAAACGCACGGAGCGACTCCTCAGACCCCCGGGGGTCGCGCCCTACCGGTGGGGTGCGTCCCAGGAGCCGCGGGGCCCGGAACTGACGCGCCTGGGGGGGTCGATTTCAAATCGAGCCTCCGGAAGATGTTCGTCCCGCAGTGAGCGCTCGGGCGACGCGACCGCGGGCTCCGGCAGGTATGCGCCCCCCGGGGGGTTGTTGTTGTTGTCCGGGACGCGCGGCGAGCCGTCTTCTTATTATCCTTGTTCGAACTTGAACGGAGGGGGGCAGCCGGCCGGGGAGCTGCTGTGCGCACAGACGCGCGTACGTGAGGCTTTAGGACGGCGCGGCGCCCGGGTCGGGCGGGTGGCCGAAGATGCGCTCGAACTCGGCCTTGGCCTCCGCCTCGCTGAGGCCCTTCGCGTTCGCGGCGTCCGCGTCCGCGCGCGCGGCCGCGGACTTGGCGGCCACGAGGCCGTAGGCGTCCTCGATGACCTCGTCGCCGTCGTGCCAGTAGCTCATGCCGTAGTCAAAGGTGAGCTCGTCGCCCGCGTCGATGGGCCGCGACCTACGCCGCGCGTCGGTGGCGGCGGTCCGCCGTCGTCCCCGGTCGGACGCGCTCGGACGTCGCCGCGGCCGCGGGACGCC